AATTCTTCCGGAATAGGGGAATTTCAGGAATGGCCTGAAACTCCGTCTTCTCACTGCTAAGCCCCGCCTTCTTCCCAAAATTTTGCCTTTTATGTCCATCTGACTTGCCCCATCTGATTTTTTAAAAAAAATTATTTTAGTATCATCATCATCATCATCATCCATCATTTGGTACAATGCAGTTAAATTAGCATTAAACTGCAAAGCAAATTCCCAGCTTCTCTGCTTCGACTGATTGCCTGCAATGCCTTTGAATCCCAGAAAGATCCCATATTTCTGCATTGGGGGCAGAGAGTAGGAAGCAAGTTAACTCTTAGTAAATTGGTGTTTTATAGCTAGCCAAGATCACCGTTGTAACCACTTTATGAATAGGCAAGTATCCCCTGGTAGCAATTTTTTGAAGGTACCCACTTCGAAATGGGACTTCAAATCCAGAAGGATGCCTACTTGGGCTTTAGTTCAATGTACATGGAGCATCAGTTAGGAGAAAGCAGTGAGGACCGTTCCTCCTGGAAGTCCAACCAATACAGGATAGAGTGGAACTTTAACAAAGCTTTGATTGATGCAACACAAAATGGTATTTGTCTTCTTAGCAGCACTGTCAAATTGCTGACTCATAGCCAGCTTGTGATCAACTCCAATTCTAAAATCCTTTTCACATTTATTATCAAGCCAGGCATCAGGTCTGGATGAAGCTTTGAATTGGGGATTTGGTTTGAAATTCCAATTCGCAACGTGGTAGCATCTTTCATTTTCTCTGTTTTGCCACAGCACTGATGAACAGGCCAGTAACAGTGGTGCCTTCTCATTTGTCTTCCCCAGTGGTTTGTCTCTGCCTATCTGAAAGGACAGGCACAGCTGATACTGGATCTTGATTATTTGTGGAGAAATAAAAGGACAGCTATTGCAATTTGCACATACACACAGCCTAAACCATAAATAGTCAAATCAACCTTTTCTCCAGGCCAATACCAAGATCAGAGTCCAACTCTGAGTGAACTCAAGTGACTTTTTCTGCCAAATATTGAGAATATTTATCCTGCAGCAATCCTATGATCTGTCCTTCTCAGCAGAGGCTGGGTCTCCTTGAGCAGAGCATACAGGAGGGTAACAGCAAATGCAATAAGGGTGAAGAATTAACATAGTTTTGTCATCCAAATCTTAACAGGGATTCTTAATATGGATTCTCACCAATATTTGCTGTTCATCTTCCTCCAATGCTCTAGCACAGGGGTGTCAAATTCGCGGCCTGTGAGATGGATGCGCCACACGCTGGCCACCCCCACCCCCGTTCAGCGAAGGGAAAAAAGTTGTGATATGTCATGTGATGACAATGTGTCATCGCAAGTTTGACACCCCTGCTCTAGCATCTCTTTATGTGTTTCATCTCCCAGAGCCGCTCCTACCAAGGAACATCCCAATTGGCAAGAGGAGAAGCCATAAATGGACAATACAATCTAAAGCAGGGGTGTCAAACTCATGACTCACATGACGTATCACAACTTTGCTAAAATGGGGGTGGGCAAGGCCAGCGCGTGATGCATCTGGCCCACGGGTCACAAGTTTGACATCCCTGATATAAAGCCTCAAACTCCTCTGAAACATACAGAGTTCATCAGGTGCTTGAGGCGGAGTGATCCAACCAGCCAAAAAACAACTAGAAAGCGACCTGGCCACAGCAACAGATTGGACAATGTCTTCTAAAATCAGATCATGTTTGCTCTGAAACAAAGATGTAAAATGCAGTTCCTAGTATGTATATGTTCACCAACGATGACCTGGGACAGTTCCATAGCTGCCATGGAAGCCACAAACTCTTGAGCCACTGTTCGTCACTAAGTTGAAGTGCCCACTACCCACCTCTGAATTGGCAGAAAAACTCTACCGGCATGGGATTTGCTGTTTCCATTGTTGATCTCGGTTACTCGACATCTCTCCACAATGATTCAATAAAGTTCCAGATTAGTGTGACAAACAAGACGAAATGTTAGCACTTTGCTCGGATAAAGATACTATATATTGCGGTCAGTGTGGCTCCTTTGACACCAAAAATTGTCATCCAGCTAAAATACCAGAACCCAGTGCAACAAACCCGAGCATTTTAGAATTAAGCACTTTATTCCATAAGGAATACTTGAGATAGTATTGTCAGATCAAACACTGTGGTTCTATGAAATATCTCTAAAACTAGAGACCTACATATGCTCCTCCCTGGTGCATTTCCAAGGACCTCCAATTTTTGAATTTCTTTTGGCCAAACCTGGGGGGAAAACATGCAAGAAAATTGATGTGTTCAAACCATTGAACAAGGAAACTACACACTAAAAGGAGGCCATACTTCTTATAAAAGAAAACCTTCAGTGCACGCACACACACACACACACACCGGAGGCGGGTTGCTCTCAGTTCAGCCCAGATCAGGCAAACCAGTAGTGGTGGCAGCGGGAGGCTCCACCCATCCACCCGGACGCTTCTGCGCATGCACAGAAGCATCACACAAAGTGTTGCACATGAGCGTGCGGGTGAGCATGAGCAAACCGGTAGCCCCGGAATTTGTAACCCACCTCTGATGCACACACACCACTCACTATGTAGTTAGTATCAGGATTCAGGAAGGGACATGACAAGAATTTAATATGAATGTATTTTTAATGCTGCATTCTGGATCTGATAAACAAGAGTCTCACTGCTGTAGTCTTGCTAGTGCCAGTCTGCAGAGGCAAATTGATTGGGGGGGGGGGCTGGGAAGAGAAATTAGCACATTCGGTTTGCCAACTGGACTGCACTGAATGCAATGCATTATGGGCAGTTTAGAAAGCTACACACTCACATAGCAGAACAATCAATCCAATGCTGCACTGCCTAGTTTTGCAAATGTGAATCTTCCAAACAATAGATTATTTCACAGATTCCTTGCTACTTACTCAGTTAATCTCTGTTTATGAAAACCAAATCCACAGCCTTTTAATTTTTTCCCTATGGTGAAATACAGAAAATCACAATAACATTGGGGGTGGAGGGGAATAGTATTGTATGGTTAAAAAGTGGGGGGTGAATATATTATGAGGATTGAAAAGAAAAGGAGGAGGAGGGGGGATGAGGAGGAGGAGAAAAAAAATAGAAGATTAGAAGAAGAAAAATATCCAAATCACCTTCATTGTAAAATTGGTGACATGTAAAATTAATTCAGTCCTTAACTTTTTTATTAATTCTAGACCATATAGCTTCAGTACCTCATTGAAAGAACACAAAGACTTAAAAAAAAAAAAGATAATAGTCTCATATTTTGAATCCATTCCTTAATATCAGGACGATAAATTTCTTTCCATTCACATAAATTTATCCTCTTTGAATGAAATGATTCAACACTATTTTGGACGCCCAATTTAACATAGGAAAAACTATTGAAGGAAAGCAGTGAAGGCCCTTTCCAAACTTGACAAAAATTGTAATTTTTATTATGAGGGAAGGAGGAAAGAATTACAGAGATGGGTCAGTATCAACCCAATAACAGCACCTGACTGGTTTCATCCAGATAAGCAGATTTGGGGCTGGTTCATACTTTCCAATTGTTGGAAGAAATGTCCTTCTGGGTTTAGTTCCAAGCAGGGAAAAAGACACTGGAAACATGGAGGCTGTTTGGAAAGATGGTTTAATGGTGGACAGGATCACATGACTTGAGCTCCTAAACAGAAAAGGGGAATCAAATTCTTNTTCTGAGCCAACATTTTGGTTGCTAAGCAAGAGCATTGTTAAGCGAGTTTCACCACATTTTACAAGTTGTCCATGTCCACCCAGTCACATGGCTGAAATCCACTCCCACTCGGTCACATGGCTGGAAATCCATTCCCACCTGGTCACATGGCCAGCAAGCCATACCTACCTGGTCACATGGCCAGCAAGTCACTCCCACAAAACAGGTCACACCTACAGAAGAGGTTCTAAAAAAATTTGAAACCCACCACAGCCTTGTTTGCTCTATAAGGGAAGCCATGGAGATGTTGAATTTCATTTTTGAAATATGTAGAAATCAGCAGGTCTTTACTTCTTCAGTCAAAATGAAAATTTGGGTTGGCAGAGAGTCAGAGAGTCATTAGAAAGAACCAACATGATTGCATCTACAGTTACATGTTGCTTTTCATTTTGGGGAGAAACCTCCTGCCATCTGTATGGCAAGAGGTGGTTCTTCCAATGACTTTAGGACTCCAGTGAAGGGTTATCTGACTCTCTGCCTACCCAAATTTTCATTTTGACTGAAGAAATTACTTGGCTGAATAATGAAACGTCTCGGTTTTAATAAACTTTGGTTCGGTTGCCATGATTTAACCTTTTCAGATATTCTGTCTCACTTCTATATCTGCCGCTAAGATTTATGAAGCCGGGGAGCTAAAGAGGTATGTAAAAACTGAAGTGTGAAATCATCTTATGCCCAACCTGGATTTCATAAATGGAGAAGGAAAACTAAGCAGTTTCATCATGTCAACTGAGCCAGTGAGTGATATATCTCTAAGGGATGCTCCATTGTCAAATTCATTCCTCAGCTCTGTTCACTCACCCTGCACTGTAGGATCCCTGGAAAAACTCAGGAGGTGTTTCTGTGTTGTTGAGACATCTCTCCACAATGGAAACATCTCCTTGTCACCCGCACCATTCCATTGCTGAACATGACTCAAGGGAAGGTGGATCTCCATAAGGCCACCATCAAACCCACCTTCACTATTTGGACACTACTGAGAAGTAGAACCATAAAAGCATCTTAAAGCCTGGGTTTGATTATCCTGATTTTTGTTTAAATGTGACCTTCAGAAACCAAACATGCAAATGCTTTCCCACGTGCTCTGTTTTAATTGTGCATTCCATGCTCTTCCTTTACAGATTTTTTTGCTGATTCATTGTATGTTTTAGAGTTCTGGTGCAAGAAAGGAGTAAGATTTCCCACAGCCCAGAAACCAAATCTCACCTGTGTCTGGGAAGGCTTGAAAGCAGAGTCAAAGCTATGTTGCAGAGAGTCCAGAAACGGCTGGATTTTATAGAGGCCATGTGTAGTCTGACTCGAACGAAAGGCCACAATATGGAAGTACTTAAGAATCTTCTCAAATCTTGCCTGAGTCATGATTAATGCGATGCTCTTGTTGCTATAGAAACCACTACTCCAGATGCCGAGGACCGACTCACAATGGTGAGTGCTTGTAGATATCATATAGGCAAGGAAGGCCTTGATTTCTATCAGCGTGACATCCATCCAAGCCTCATCGCTGCCAAACCGTTCCTGGTATTTCTTGGCATACATGTTGGTTTGAATCACCATGTTCTTTAGCACATTATCAGGAACAAAGAGTTGGAAGAAGTCCATGGCACTGGAAGTGGGTGGCATTTTGCGAGTTGGACCTAAAAGGAAAAAAATGTAGAAATGAAGCTCATTTTTCCAAACATTTCAGAATATTTGCAATGAAGCAGAACCCTGAAACAGTGCAATTAGGCTACTGGTACTTAGTACATCTCACCCAATGAAGCACTGTTTTCTATAGTTTGTTTCTTAATTGGTACTCAGAGTTATATTATACCCATTGTTAAGAGGACAAGGCAGTTTGTGTCTACTGTCAAGATTCAAAACATCTGCCTAATTATTACTGCACTTCTACTGTAGGAAGGAAATGCTACTGATATCCAAAACTAATTTAGTCAGAAGTGTACATGTAGTCATTTCTTTGATCAAATTATTAACTCTTTTAAGAGAAAGTCTCCTTTTAGATAAATATTGAATTGATTTCATTAAAAATGCATTTAGCTGGGATCTAACAGGTATTTCTATGGAGTTTAAATAAGAATGATTACAAGTATAAAAGAATATCTTTATTAAATTGGAAATAGCTTATTGACATGCGTAAGATAATATTTCACAAAATAATCTATCATTTTTATAAACTACTAATGTATTTGTACTTAATGTATTTTTTTTTGTAAAAGTAATCCGAATCTCTTATCCAATGGTATATTTTTGAACTGATTCAAAGAAAGAAAGAAATCAAGGGGACAATATAGATCTTTTTTTAATTCAAGAGTTTCGGGTGAAAGAATTTTCCTGTTCTTTGACTTTCTTCTATATTTAACTGAAATGCAGCTTGCCCGATGAAGATACCAAATGAGAAAAGTGCCTTAAGTCTCATTTCCAAGCAATGAATTATTTAAATTTCAAGTTAATTTATAACTTGAAAATTATTATCTAATGTCACATCTCTTGTTTCCAACACAGTTCACACTAAAATAGGGGCTGAGTTTCATAATTTTATTACCCAGTATGGCTGCCTTGTTTTAAAAAAATGTAAGTTTGCATTATTGGAAAGATATACATGAGATGTTAATAAAGATATCTTACTGAACTCTTTTCATAGACTTCCTTTATAGAGAGAAAGATCATAAGAGATAAGTAGATAAGCATCTCTAATCAGTTTTGCACAGATTAGTAAATCTTGAAGTAAGAGAAGCCTGATGAAAGATATGAAAAAAGCAGTGTCAAGAGATCAGCTTAGTGGAATCAAACTTATATGAAAGTGAAAATGTTCACTCAGTTCTCTTAATAATTCTACATTTTCTAGGCAACTATAATCTGATCATAAGGCAGTTTATTAAACAGGCTTATTTAGGCATCAGTGATTTTTACACATTTCACTTTAAGCAAAGCAATAATTAAGTCTGAGTTCCAAAGACTTATGGACTCATTATCTTTCTTCCTAATACCAGTGGCTTTGTATTTGGTCATTTCGACATTATTTTTCTGAGGTCCATCCTGACCGCAGAAAGAATGATGTATGCACAGCAGTGGAAGAGTAAAAACATCCCTTCAGAGCAGGAGATAATAAGGAAGATATTAGTCTGTGCAGAAATGGAAGACAGATTCCACTCATCCAGTTCCGGCCAGGTGCAGAGACAAAGATGACCTTGGCTTTCTAAGAAGAATGTTATTATGGCTACATATTACCCAACTCTATATAATCCCCCTTCCCATTTTCCCACAGTAGAAAGTGTGGCAGGCCTGAAGTCCAAAAAGAAAAGATGGCTTACAGGCATGACATTGGCCTTGCAGATGTTGCTGAACTAGACTTTAACATTTGTTATCACTACCACTAATCAATGAACGATGTTATTGTTGAGTCTGTAGCTCAAAAACATTTGGAGGGCCACAAGGTACAGAAGTTCTGTATATTGAAAAAAAGCTAATATTTATTCAAACATGAAAACACAATTTAGTAGTGGGAAGCATAAAATCATTTCCCCCCATTTTTGTTTAAATGTATTTTTAATAGCTCAACAAAATGCCATTCTTTTCTGACAAATGATTATGATGGTAGTTCTTATTTGCATCACATCTACGTTTTCTGCATACAAGCATTTTCAATTTATTTGCAAAAGATGTTTCTCTTGTGCAATAAAATGTGAATATGAATGATCCATTCAACCATGGATGCCACAAAATCAAGGGGAGAAAACCAATCTAATGCCCAAGGAAGACCTCCTCTTCCCTGTCCCAAAGCTCATGGAAGGGAACCTAATACTGTGGAGCAAAAATATATTTTCAAAATTTTGCCTTTTTTTTTTAATTAAATTTTTTTAAAATTTTAATTTAAAACAAGTACAACATCTTTCTTTACATGCTATAAAAAATGTGTCAGTCGGTCACAAATATACTTTCGTGTATCTCCTCCCCAGTCAACAAACATAACTCATGTTAACTCAAGCATTTTAACTCAAATATTCATACATATCACCATCATCATATATCCATTTTCATTTGACTGTAATTATTATTTAAAAATATTAATAAAAATAATAATCTTAAACAATACATGCCCACATCAGTGGGAAAAAGAAAAGAAAAAAAAGACAAAATTTTGAAATTATATTTTTGCTCCACAGTATTAGGGTCCCTTCCATGAGCTTTGGGACAGGGAAGTGGAGGTCTTCCTTGGGCATTAGATTGGTTTTCTCCCCTTGATTTTGTGGCATCCATGGTTGAATGGATCATTCATATTCACATTTTATTGCACAAGAGAAACATCTTTTGCAAATAAATTG